GCCTTCGGGGAAGTCATAACACTCGCTCTAAAAATTAATATAGGTAATTCTGTTTCAATTGAAATAACCAGTAAATAGGGCATCTTGAACTCCCCCTTCCCTTCCCCTCCTTTTACAAAAATCTGAAAAAGTCCAATTCCAAACACATACTTTTAAATAAATCTCACACAGGTGTCCAAATTCTGATTATTTATGTAACATCTGTCCCTAGCCTAGGACAACGTGTTACACCCATCTTAGTTTAAGCAGGCAGAAAGTGGTCTAAAGCCATAACTGAACAGACATTTATGAGTCTTAGAGCACTTCTAAAATGGTGGATCGTGCTAAGGTAACCATCACTGGATGAGGAATTAGATTAAAGCACTTTGTTAGAGCAGTTTATCGAATGTCTTTGCCACATCCCATCAAGGATTAACTTAGAGTGTGATCATTGCCATCCCAGCTGGCATTGCTCAGTGACAGCCTCTGATCCCAGCCTGGCACACAGCCCAGCTGTCCCTGCAGCTGTCCCAGCCCGGTGGTGCACCACAGCCTGATTAAGGGGGGCTGTGAAAAAAGGCCTCTGGGGTCTCCTTCTCCTCTCCCCCTCCTCTCAGCAGCCCCTGCCAGACAGCAGCACACAGCTGCTTGGCTTGTGGGGGGAGAGGGGAATTGGGGACTGGGAGAAGGGCTCTGGGTTCCCCGCTGCCTGGATGTTGCTGCTGCAAGGGAAGGGCTTCAGTGTCTCTCTTGCCCCAGCTGCTGCTGACAGTCATCAGCTGGTGAGGGGGGTGGGAATGGGGAGAGGGGCAACTGGCAGCCTCCTGGAAAGCATGTGGGAATGCTCCAGTGGCCAGTGTGGGTAGGCTTCAAGCCCGCTCCACCATACATTGAATGTCTGTTTGATTTCCTTATGCTCTAACTTTATAGCACTTGGTCAAGTGATAGTTGGCTTCCACCAGGGGCCTTTTGACCATTTGTACTTAGCCCTAGTTGTCAGTTGGATTGATTGTCCTTTTGTATGAATGACCCAGATGTCTTTTAATGAGAGTATCCTTCCATAGTATTGTTTATTTTTAGTTTTGTATTACACTCCTTTTTTTTTTTTTTTTTCTTTTTCTATCAAAATATTCAGTATTCTGGTGAAGGTATAGTGATGCTTTGGGTGGATTATATTATTAAAGTACACTTTTATTCATAACTTTTAGAAACAGTAATATAGTTTGGGAATTTTAGTCTTCCAGGTAACAGTTGGAATAAAATGTAGTGCAATTTGTACTTACCTGCCAAGGTGATTTTATCGTGTCTGCCTTGAAATTGTATCATTTTCAGAAGATACCTCTTTATTTTCTGCAGAATATAAATAAATATCTGAAGTAAATAGAATTGTCTACTAAGAGGGTCACACAAACTATAGATCCTGTGTATATGGGAGGATTAGTTACTAAGTGGGCGCCTTTACACGTCACTCTACGTTGTTGTACTGACATGTTACATGGCCATATGATGCGCTACTGCAACATAGCAATCACGTGAGTCTGCACACAATCAGCAACTACTTCGCTATAGTGGCATGCTCCCCAGTTTTAGCATGCCGCTGTGGCAAAGTAGCAGTTAAAATTAATCATGCGCCATGTGCATGGCGCAGAATGGGTAGATGCTGCGTTGTGTTACCAGATTTGCCCATTACTTTGGGGTGTGCTTATTTATTAGGGATAGTTTCTAGGGTCCTGGTAATTCTGTCAATGTGCTGCTTGTGTTACTATATGGAGCTGTATCTCTCCCTTCTGCAAGCCCTCACCTGCAATGGAGCTATCTTGCAGGACTTAATCTCAATGGGACTGGGTTCCTTCAGTCACCAAATCAGTCATACACACAAACACACACAGATTAACGTGATACGCCTGACCTGGCCGGGTTGATCAGCGTGGACAGGCTGACACCCTCATATGCCAAGAATCAGTTCATCAGAGCAACAATAAACTGCAGTCAGACACAAGCACACAGGTGAACAGAATCCCTCTGAATCCGGCTGGGTGTCCAGCTGACACCCTCATGGGCCAGCATTCAGTTCATAAGGGCACGTCTGAGTCAAACTGGGTCAATCAGCCTGTACAAGCTGATCCCCTTATGTGTTTCAAACTCAGCACATCCCAATCTTTGGCCTCTTGATGAGCAGACCCCACAATAATTTGGGCTTCACAGGGATCTTTAGCATAGGTAAAAGAAGCATTGCTGCAGAGCACGGGAGGAAAGAGAAGCAGAGAAGGAAAAATATACCCAATTACTACCAGTTTGACTATAAAAGTTATTTATTGCTAAGCATATGAAATATATAATAGTACTAGTAGTAACAGACATGCAAAAGAAAAACAAACACCAACAATGACAATACTACCCTGGTTTCACTAAGTATTTGGGGAAACTTAGCTCAAGCTTAACTGATACAGTTCAGGTTCAGAAGTTTATGCCTAGAAAGAAGACAGAGAACGCTGGGATCTCACCTAGTCCACGGTACTCAGGCTGCAAAGCTGACAGGCACAGTCTGTAGCACAGTCCTTGAAGGGAGAGATGATCTGTTCTTCCAGCGTCCCAAGAACGACAGGGGATGGTGTCAGCACAGGGGTTTTCTTCTTCTCCTTCTTTCCTCCTGCTTCTACTTCTTTTCCTTCCTTTTCCTCTTCTAGCAGCACACACACTTACAGATTTTTATACCCTCAGTTCAGCTGCTTCGAAGCACCCTCAGTAGTGTAAATCATTGTCTTTTCTATTGACAAGGGGTTATCTGGTTTGGACCATCTCAGGAAACTGATTGATAATCAGGAAACACTTAAGATTAGGGAGTAACCCAAATACTTGGGAGCCAGCTTGAAATTCCTATGGGTGGCAGATATACTGATGGGATATCTCATGGTTTCTTCAGGAACAATAGATAGCTTGCAGCATCAGGATTTTGGATTTTTACTTGTTGTGCACAAGCCTCAGCTTAGCATGACTTTTCCAGATCTTACTATAGTCTTTTAACAGACTTAAAACAATTATTGGGGTGCTCATAACCTTTTGTGGAGAGGACTCCCACCAGTCGTCTCGGGAAAGATATGACAACACCTGGGATTAGGGCTCCAGCAGGCTGAGTCCTTAGTAAATCCAGATTAGAACTGGTCTGATAAATGCTGAGCTGGATGTGTGTGAACATGGGTTGGTTAACATTTGGAGCACAGATTCCCCATCATGAAGTGCTCCCCTGCTTCTCTGGTCCCAGAATTCACTGCAGTCTCTGCTTCAGGCTTTCTGTTCTCCATCTCTCATGTAAATGAATGGTCATCTGGTTCCATGTCGGATGCAAATGAGACCTAGGGCAGTTGTTTCACTCTTGTCACCCTTATCTTGAGGGTCTTAGGTGTGTCTCTCACTGCATCTTAATCAGTTTCTTTTATGTAGAGGAGGGGAGGGAGGGGGGGCGAGTCAGACAGACTGCATCCTGTGCCAGGGTTGCCTGAGAACACAGAGCTGAGACGTAACAGCTGTGCTTTAGTACCTCCAAAAGAAAGTATGTGCACCCAGTGAGTTATAACTGCTTAAACCATCTGTTGGCAGTCTTTGCTACTGAGGGCCAGAGCTTGCACCCTGACATTCTATAAATCTGTCTTCTAGAGTGCCAAGGCACGTGTGCTTAGTCCTCTTGTTGATGCCTAGACCCTCTGCAGTGAGGTTAAGTGCAGGTATGAGACAGCAGCAAAGAGTGCTGTGGAGGGGGAATGCTGTGGAGAAGACTGGGCAGAACATGGCTGTGTCATGCCATTTATCTCCTGTATACCCTGGGCTGTTGTTTGGTCTGGCCCATGGGCCATAGGTTGCCAACCCCTGATCTAAACAAGTTGAACAGCCAGTCTTTCCATTTTACTTAGTACCTTGCCTCTTGAAATCGATGGGTCAATGGAAAGTGAAGAGGGCAGGATTTTTCTAGTAATTTTCAATATAATGATACCTTAGAGCAGGGGCAGTCAATTCAATTGGCTCCGTGGGCCAGATCTGGATCCCAGGGCTTCTTGTGAGCTGCAGATACCTTGTTGGCGTGGCTGCCAGAGCTGCTGCATTCCCATGGCTCTAGAACCTGAGGCGGCTGGGGGTGGGATGCTGCTACTGACCACCTTCCCACCTGCCCTGGTATTTTTTTTTTCCTGCTATTTTTTAGCTTGTTAATGCTGACTGAAGGCTCTGTATTCAGCACTAGGCAAGGGGATGGTGGCCAGGCAAGCAAGCCCCATAGGCTGCTATTTTAACCCCAGTTCTACAGCCCTGACAAAGATTTCTTGGCATTTCTAGCTATATTGGGACTAAGTGGGAGAGCAAGCTGATAAGGTTGGCAGAAACTATTAAAGCAAGTTGCAACTGCCTAGTGTTGTTTTTTTCCAGAAGTTCTCAAATATTTCAAGCATTAAAAATCTATATGCTGAATGTGCTTTTGCTTATGTCTACCACTGTCCCTGGCATGACATCTGGAAAGCAGAGATTAATTATTAAGATCCTACTATATTTACAGTATTTGCTGCAGTAGATATTTTCAAATCTATAGGATTTCTCCCTATAATCCTATTTTTATTGGTTATAGGCCACATGAAGAAAATTGCTAAGCTGTTTAAAGTGTGAAGTTCTCCTTTTATTATTTAATAACCCTATCGCTTCTGGGCTGTCGATCACAAGTTTCAGTGTAGGGGACTAAAGCACAAACTCTTTCTGTAAAGTAAAGGAAATGTAGAGGTATGCGAGGCAGGCATTTTTATAACTTTACACTGAATTGCAGCATTAGCAAGATATGCACTTTATACATGCAAACTTCTCTGGGATTTTGTTTTGTTTGCTTGCCATAAACAAAGGAAAATATGGCTAAGGTGGTATCAAAATGACCCACCTCACTGAAAATTCACTGAGCATGCAGTAAAGAAAGGTCCTGTCAGGTGTAGGTCTGACTGACTGATCTAAATAAGACGGTTTGCTAAATCTCTTAATCTTTCTTTTAGGTACACTTTGTTTTATCGACACTTGAAGAACATTGAGGAAAATGAGGGTGGCCTTGATAAGTTTTCAAAAAGTTACAAAACTTTTGGAGTCAACCTGTTTGTGGATGGTGGAATATATTGTAAAGAATGGGCACCAGGGGCAGAAGCAGTGTTTCTCACCGGTGACTTTAGTAAGTATTCTAAAATTGCCTCATTTTTTTTACTTCCCAGAATGCTTTTTAAAGGCAGAGCAGTTGTCATTGTTATTAAAGTTGCGTGACCCAGGTTGCTATTGTGATGGCTGTGTGTTGTCTGACACTTGAGAAATGGAACCAAGGACCCTTGAGCTTGTGCTTACAAACAAATAAAAAACAAGCTAACGTACCATGGATCCATATAGAGTTAAAGACTTGTAAAATTCACTTGTCAGTTAATGTACACTAGGGTATCCAATAAAACTTAAAAAAAATAGTATTGAGATTTATAGTGAAGAAGTGAACACTTTAATACCATTAAAATGTAAAAAAAAATTAAAGCATGCTTGCGTGTTTTTCAGACTTGAAACAAATAAATGTTAATTCCCTGATTTCTTCTCCAAAGCAGTTGCAAATAATAGGCATCTTGGGAGGGCAGTGGTGGAAGAAAACCTCTGATTTTAAATGCTAATTACAAATGTCTAGTCTTGGTTAGAGTGAAGTCATTTTAAATGTTCCATAATCACGAACATACTATCAATAGAATATTATATGAAAATTGCATTCCTACTTAAAACTGTGTTCCCCAGTCAGAGCTGGATATCATCATAACACAAAAAATAGTTGAGGTTTACATGTAATGGCATCAGAATCATTAACCAAATACCTTTGCTGCAATATCATGAAGCATTCATAGGCTGAACCTACATAAACCACCAGAACATTTTATATTCCTAGCTTGTGATAGGTATTACTTTGGGCTTGGAGGTTTCATTTTCAAATGCATGTTAGTCTCATTAGCTAATGAGGTGACAGTAGTTGTGTTTATAATAAAGATAATCTTTTGTCATTGTCTTTGAATGACCCTCTAGCCATGTTCTCTCAGAATAAGGTGTGATGCAATTCAAGAATTAAAACTGTTTCTTAACTGTATTTGGCAACATGGGTATAGTTAAGGAAATAAGAATAGACTAATCAGCATGGAAGATGGCTTTGCTAGCTGCATTTTTAAAATTACATCTGGTGTGGTGGGTGATGTGCTGCTTTCCTGATGGAGATGATTTTGGGAAGAGTGTGAAAAGGGCAATGCCCTGAAGGAAAACTTACCTCAAAGGGAAGAGCTCCCGAGCCGGTGGGACATGGCTGAAAACTGGATGTCTGGCGGGAGCAAAACTGCGGTGGAGAAAAACGCCGCCGCATAGAAAGAGGGGAAAAAAAAAAGAAGGTACAACAGGTCCAGGAAGCCTCCAGCCTTGGCATGGACCTGTTCTATGGTGGTATGCCGGCGCTGATTTGCTGCCCGGCCCCTTAGGGCAGAGGTAAAAGCTCTGCTGGGAGCGGAGTCGAGGGCATTGGAAGTGAGGCTTCCACTGGGACCAGAAGAGCCCCAAGGAGGAGGGAGCTCCAGAGAGGACTAGTGACTGCCCCAGGAGGGGACACAGACAATGGAGAAGCCTGCAAGGGCCAAGAAGAGGTGTGAATACACCTGAAGAGGAGGTGTGAATCCTGGACTCCTCTGAATGTGATTAGATGCACAAGGACCCTGAAAAGGGAAAAGAGAGCCAGGAGTCTGGACCAAAGTAACCACATAACAGAAAAGCAAGGATGTTGCTGGCAACAAGGTAACTTGGGAATAGCAAGGATCACAAGCCAGTCTTTGCTATGGCCGGGAGCTCAGGGCAAGTGAGGTCTGTACCCTATTTTCCTTTCAGGTCAAAAGACCAAGACACAAAAATTATTACCATAGCTCACCTTAGAGGTGAGCAGAAGACAACATCTTAAGGTTGGCGTAAGTTGGGATGTAAGGGAGATGAAGCCCCAAATCGGGAAACCGGACAAGCCTGGTTATGGAAAACCCCAGGGAAGGTGCGATGTAACATCCTCCTCCCAGTGATAACTTATTTTTCCATCAAAGACATGGCAGGTGAGAACCCCCTGAAGGCCTTCCAGGGCAAATACTTTAACACTGAACTGTCCAGATCCCAACGGAACTAGGGATCTAGGCTAGGCGTATGAGCAAATGCCACGGGAACTTACAAGGAGAAACTAAATAAGGCAGGAGAGGGGTGAATTATGTAGGGTTTTAAAAGTGAGGACATGGTATTTGACTTGATGTTGCATATGGATGGCACAGTGGAACAATTTTAGTCTCCTCTGCTATCAAGGAGAATGATCTTAATAGTTGATACATGTATGCATGTCAAGTTTTTTTTATTTTTAATTTAAAAAAATATACCAACTACCAGCAGAGGTTTGAGAACAACAGTTTGGAGACAGTAAGGGACTCAGTGTAAACTTTAGGTGTGGAGGATATAACCAGATTTAAGAATGGTCTGATTATGTGAGGCAGAGAAGAGGAAAGAGTCCAAGGTCTTTTTGTTAAAAGCTGGAGTAAGGAGCAATGATGACAAGTGATTCTACATGATCAGGGGGTTGTAGGGACAGTAAAGAAGAGATGAGCAGGCACAATAATTTCTTTTGCAATATTTTTCTAGAGACAGTAGGAAGTTTGGCTAGACTGAGGAGAAATCCTGCTTGGGATGCTGGCTTACAGCTAAGGTTGGGGAAAGGGTGAGGGCTACCTTGGGGTTGGGGGTGGGAGGAAGGGAGGTAAGTGTGGACTTGGCAGCTGTGCTGGAACCTGATGGAGTTTAACTTAGAAGTTCCTTCTAAAGGGCCTTGTTCCTCTGCTTGTGTTCATACCATTACCAATAGGGCTAATTTTGCTAATCTAACCTAAGGGAAAAGACTAGGATATTTTTGCCTTCCTCTAACTTCTTCTTTAACCATGGTCTGTGGTATTAACTAACAACTTCCCAGTCATGGTGTTGGCAGTGCTCTCAAGTTCCATGTTTTACTGTTGGCATGCTATAGGGTATATTAAATGGTTAAAGGCCTAGGGAATTTTGCCATTGACTTATGCTAGACAGGAATTTCAGCTATAATCTACGAATGCTGGGCCTTTTGTCAGTTTGTTTATACCTATTGAAAACATTTTGGTAACTTTTAGTCTGCTTACATACATGAAAACTCAAGTGTCCCTCAGTCATAGAAAAAAAAAAATATTAAACACACTTCAGATTTATGAAGCAGTTGGTATAAATGCTGTTTAATCAACAATTCACCTTTACTTCCGTTCAGAGAAATTTATATATATATATATATATATATTTTTCTCGGAGTGCAATATTTCAATGGCAGATGCATGTTCCAAATAGTATTGTGTGTGGCAGAAAAAATGACCCTGGACATGAATTAAGAGAGTACATTTTAAAAATACCTAATTAAGGTGCATATTATACTAGCTTTGTTCTAACAGTTCATAATTAAGTTCCTTTACAGAGTAACTAGTAACATAATGCAATAGGGGGAGATATTATATCACTCCTTGATTCTTTTGGACCCAGATTTTTTTTTTTTTTTAATTCAAATATATTTCTTGGTAAAGTGTGGAAGAACTTTGATAGCACATTTTATGGCTCAAGGTCAGCATATAAGTGACAGAAACATAAAACCACACATCCATACAACTGTAGTTGCACTTCATTTCAGGGGTCAGAATTATGACTCTCTGCAACCACTTAAAAAACATTAAATAGCTGGACACAGAAAATTTATGTTTGATTTCTGTAGATATTATTGTACAGAGTGAGAGGGCCTTGTTATACCTTTCACTGTGAGCTGCACAAATGTTGATCAATGTTAGTGCTAGCTCAAGTTTGGAGTGGTCACATGTTCAGGTCAGCAGGGGTCTGGAGTACTGAAAGCTAAGAATTTCTCCTCCCATTCTGGTCTCCCTTTCTTCCCCTTGGGGTTTCTGTCATGCTCCTCCCCTTACTTGTGGCTGCCTATACTGTCTTTCTCAGGGGAGTAGGTAGGGAAGGGTTAGTCTGCCTATCTGACCACTGCTGCTACCACCGCCTGCTGGACTGCTGCTCTTTTGGCTGAGCCCATCCAGGCAGGAGTGGTGGTGGCTGGGCAGGCAGGTTAACCGTTCTCTGGCTGCTCCCCGCAGGACACAGTGCGGGCAGCCACAAGCCAGTGGGAGGTGGCAAAGGAGCTGTGGCTTAATCCATGCCACCGGGGGATGGGAAGCAAGTGGGATGTTTATAGTAAGGTGTAGAGTAGCTACACCTTAGTGTGAAGATGAGCTGGGTAACGTGGATCAGGGATAATTGTGCCATGGAGCGGGGTAACTTTGAGCTGCCTAATGAGTGCTTTAGAGTAGTTTCAGGTGTTAATGTATGGACAGCCCAGGTGTTAAAAGCTCCAGGAGCTGTCCAACATGACCATGTAACAAGGCCCTTGGTTTGCACAAAACACAAACATTTCTTAAAGGTTGGGAAAAACCCCTTCCACTTAAAATCATAGATTCCTTGTTTAGATGCATGTACTCTTTTACAGTGGGACTGCTATAACTTTATTTTGGAGACCTGCTTTCAAATTGAGTAGTGTTGCGGTTTAATGACTAGAAGTACTCTGTGGTGTTGGAGTAATATCGAAAATTTTAGATAGGATTTGAAAATATTAGCTGTATCATAGAAATATTAAGGCTGGGAAGGGGAATTTGTAAAATTGCTTGTGGGGTACTTTTATAACCAGCAGTATTTTGAGGTTAATAGCTTTAATATGTTTTGGAGCTTGCTCACTGTTAATAGCTTGTAACATCTAGAGATGGTAGAGAGGTCAACTAGGAGAGAAGCTTTTCTCGACTCGCTGCTCACAAATAGGGACAGATTGGTTGAAAAGGTGAAGCTGGAAGGTATGTAGGGTGACAGTGACCATGAAATGATAAAGCTAAAGATCTTAAGGGGAGGAAGGAAGGAGAGCAGTGGAATATGGACACTGGACTTCAGAAAAGCAAACTTTATTAAACTCAAGGAGTTGGTAGGCAGGATCATGTGGGAGGCAAATCTGAGGAGAAAGGGAGTCAAGGACAGCTGGCTATACTTCTGAGGAGGCCCTCTTAAGGGCACAGGAGCAAGCTATCCCAGTGC